GCTCTTTATAACCATCCTTGCCTCTAAGCAACTTTCTAACAGCTGCTGCTTTCAGTGAAAGAGAGGCCATCTCAAAAATATTTCCTTCCATTGCTCCTGGATAAAACATACAGCAGCTCAGGAGAAAAACAAGGATTGGAAACGCCCCTGCTCTGAAGTGCAGTACCAGCAATATTCATGCCTGAACAGGTGACAGGTTCAAAGTCTGATATAGCACATGTGGAGTGTCAACTGCTGCTGGATCCCACTGAGAACCTTGCTGTTTGCGGACCCCTATAGGAACGTAGGGCCTGCCAGACTGGCTCAGACCTGTACCCCATCTATCCCAGCATCTTGGTTTTGACGGTGGCTGGTGCAGATGCTCCAGCAGAAGGTGCAAGAATCTCCGTAGTGGACAATGATGTGATAATCTGCCTGCATGGGAACTTTCTTCTGAAACCCAGTGAGTGGTTGGCATTTGCCGTAAAGAATGAGGGTTTGTACCCCATTTGATAAACCTCCAATAACCTTTAATAAATCTCTTGACTCATGTAACTGGATGGTCTTGATATTAGGATTAATGGCTCCTCTCCCGAATTTGCTTTCTACTCCAAACCCCAGTGAAATTCTTTTGCTAAAGGACCCTAGCTACAACCTTAGCTCCGTTTAGACATTGTCACGAATAGCTACAGAGTGCATTGAGATCCCTGCATGGGAGATGCTAGAGAAGAACAAAGTGTTGTGCTCCTGTGAAAAGTCCCTTGGATTTTAATAGCCATTCAGGGCCTCACATGGCAACAAGGGAGGAGGGGCACACGTAACTTGGGCCATAAAATCATAACACTCACTGAGGTTCATCTGAGGACAAAGTCTCAGGAGAACCTACTATGAGAAGCCGTTCTGGAACCAAAGCTCTGTGGGTCATATTTTTACCATTGCATGATAAAACTGGTGAAGTCCAGGGACTTCTCCAAAGTCACAACATCCACTCCCAGAGATGGGGGAGAGAGGAAGGTTTATGACAGCCCTGAACCAAAAATTACTCATCTGAGAAAAAATAGGTTTGAAGGGAGCAAAGACAGGGATGTTGGGAAGTTGGCATCCTTTGGGTGCCTTAGCTGTGAGTTCCCAACCTTCCTAATGTTTGTTTCTTTTAACTGCAATCTGAAGTCTGAATTTTCTGCCTCTCTAGTGAGTGCTATTTTGATAAGGCTGAGAATTCATACCACTGTGTTAGTACATCGCAGTTAACTCCAGCTTAGTTTTTGTCTGTGAATTCTTTCTAGTGTTTAATCCTTTCCTTTTATCTAATGGCACATCAGTCTCTCTCTCTCCAGTTGCTTGCACGATTCCTTCAGCTTTGATTTTATTGCCTGCTGTGGCAAGATCCACTCACTGCAGTGTTCTTGGTTAGTTCCAAAATGAGATGTGCTCAGCTGGGTTCTGTAAACTAAGCTGTTTCTTGCTCTCCATAAAGAGTAATGTCAGCCAAATGTAGTCTTTATTTTGCAAAAGCACAAGTAAAAATGGGCCTTCTGCGGTGCAGGACGAGCTCTTGGAAAGACACCGATGTTTTATTTCACCAGCCCTGGTAGCCACGGACAGCAGATGTTTTGGCGCATGCGGCTGTTAGTAGCTGCCCTTCTCGATGCAAATAATGTGCCTTCTCCTGCCATTATTGCTGGTTCTACAAGTCCCAATCCTGATTTAGGCCACAGTCCAGCAAAGCACTTAAGTGTGTGGGTGACTAAGTAGAACTTGCATGCATAAAGTTAAGTACGGGCTTTGGTATGTTGCTAGAGCAAGGCCTTCCTCTGCCAGATGGAATTAGGGCCATGGAGCATGAAGAGTTGGCACTTCTCTGAAAGCCTGTCTCCAGTGAGTCCAGCAAGAGAGGTGTGAGCTGGGAATCGGCTAAAGATTTACAGCAAGGTTGGATCTATCACTGGCCAACAATGGGCCTGCACTGGTTGTTTAGATACATCTATAATGCCCCTTCACCACTTCTGCATAGCCTCAGAGGCCACTGTATATTTCAGGGCCAGATTTGAAATCCCATATGACCCATCCTACTTTAAAAGTGACCTGCAAAAAACCCACTCTACCACCAGCAATACATCTCCCCCTTCCACCCCCAGGCTTGTCCCCTCTTTTGGTCTGTTTTGATGTATAGAGAGGGGTTTATTGGTTTTCTACATTCCCAAGGTCTGGCCGTTCCCTAGTTTTGCTGGGAAACCTGCTGGATGTTTCAGACCCTGGCTCTCATGAGCTCCTTAATTGATGGGGTGTTTAATCTTTAACAAAGATTCCTTTATCCGAAATGTTTATTCATCACTAGAGTTAAATTGTGTGTTAAAAACAAAAAAGGAAGTGTTTAAACAGTTTGACTAAAAAGCCTTTCCCCTCTTAACTGCTCTCCTCTTGGCTTGTGTGATATCACTGTCGGAAGCATTCTTTAGTCACTGTCTTTCACTTTTTTGCAAAGGGAAGCTACAAGGTGGTCTTATGAGCAATTGTTTGCACACTTCTGCAGACTTGGTTGCTTTGCAGTCAGAAATGAAATTGTTCTCGTAACAGCTCTGTAATGCAGCCACAGGCCTCCCCCGCTAGACTTGCACAAGCTGTACACTGACACAAAGGAAGGCACTGTTAGTGTCAGCTGTCCAGTCCAGTATATGGAACAAGCGTCAACCACATTGTGAGGTTTAATTATAGCCTGTGTTTAATATTAATTAGTGCCGGGGCACTGCAACCTGCTTCTCCAAACTTTATTACAGCTCAGACCTAATTGGCTCCTTCCAGCAGGACTAAACCCACTGAGGCATTTTGAAACCCTCCCAGTACCAGAATCTCTGAAAGAGCAGAATCAGAAGCTAGAAAGAGCAGAATCAGAAGCTCATTTTGGCGTATCCCTCTGACATGTTCCCTAGGACAGTATATTCCCTTAGTTACTAGGCAGTGGAAAGCAACTGGTTTTTCCTCTCTCTTTCTCACCTTATTTAAAGGAAAGTAAATCTCCCCAGCGATGATGCAGTAAATGGACCTAGACGAGTCTGGGAACTTTAACAAAAGCCGCCATGTAAGCAAAATATAACCCTCTCCCTTTAAGAGCTTTCAGATCCCTACACCACAGGGAAAAGTGGCAGAAACTCCATGAAGTCCACTAGGGCTGTGGTTCGTACCCAGGGGTACGTGGTGTTGAAATGGATCTTTTAACAACCCACAGCTGAGCAGGTGTTTACCGATACCAGTGTGAATTCGGAAACCAATATGCTTAATGCACAGTCATTTATTTGAGAGAGAATCACACAAGCAGTTAAGGTTACATGGTATACATTCTTTTCCATAAGCCTCAGTTCCCCAAGCATAAACCCTCAGTAACTATATTGGCCTTACACAGTATCCTGATTGGCCAACAAAGCAGGTATAACTACCAGCTCTAGATGGAGATTCTTTTCTTCTCTTCTTTCCCCTCTCAGGCACTTGGTCTGTCCCTCGAAGCAGGGTCTTGGTTACCCTGATGACTTTTGGTTCTACGGTCTTGAAAAGGTCCCTCAAGGCGGGGTTTTGGTTACCCCGATGACTTCTGTCTCACAGTCTCGAACCTCTTTGGATATTAATTGGGGACTTAATCTGACTCATTTACTTTGCTTAGCACTTATATACCTTTTTGTTCTCAAAGGAGCCACTTGTTCCAGAATTGTGCCTCATAGGTGTTTTATTATTGGTTTACTTCATAATTTTGGAAGGGATTGCAAAGCAGACACACAGACCAAAGCTCAGCCATAGTTTACTCTCTCATAAATCATTCACTTAAGCTCTTAGAATGACCCTTTTTGGATAACCTCACACTGACCCATGTCAGCCATGTCACCAGGCTCACTGATCGCATGATCTCACGTGTTCTTTACTTTCTGAGTGGGTTCGCTGCTGAAATATTCCCAAATTCGGGGTTAAAACACACATGCCCATTGAGCCGTTGTTAACCACTCCAGTGCAGTTTCAGCACTTCCAGTAGTATTCCACTCCATTTATCAAATGCTAAGAGAGTCCTGCTCCCAGAATCCTCTAGCCACACCGAACTTATGCTTGCCACATTCATATATATCAGTCACAGCAATTCATAATAATTTGGCACAGTCTCAACATGTGTGCCCATGGGGGTATGCAGAGGTTTCTTAGGGGTACCTCAACTCAGCTAGATATTTGCCTAGTTTTACAACAGGCTACAGAAAAAGCACTAACGCAGTTAGTACAAACGAAAAGGTCAGACAATGACTTGTTTATAGGTTCTGTATACTATACACTGAAATGTAAGTAAAATATTTATATTCCGATGGATTTATTTTATAATTACATGAGAAAGGAAGCCATTGGTCAGTAACAGTGTGCTGTGACACTTTTGTATTGTTATGTCTGATTTTGTAAGCAAGAAGTTTTAAAATGAGGTGAAACGTGGGGGTACAAAAGACAAAGCAGACTCCTGAAAGGGGTACAGTCGTCTGGAAAGGCTGAGAGCCACTATATGCAGCAGATGCTCTGACCTACAGTGATGGGGAGCAGTGTAAAACTCAGATAGATGGATATTTAGTTACCTAAACAGCTTTCATTGCGCCTTCCTTCTTCTTCTTCTTTAAAAAAAAAGGAGTACTTGTGGCACCTTAGAGACTAACCAATTTATTTGAGCATGAGCTTTCGTGAGCTACAGCTCACTTCATCAGAGCCTTCTTTAAGGCTCTCTGGCTGGGACACTTGGTCACTGTCCCATTCCTGGGAGCAGTCTCTTTCCCTGAGCTAGATCAGCTCCTGCAAGTGCTATGGGGAGAAAGAGCCTGTGTCAGTAACAGCAGCAGCTCTGGGACTTGGTAAGGAGGGGGCTTGTGCAGTCACTTCCTTTCCCTCTCTCAATTACCTGCGGTCTGTGGCTCCGGTGAATGTCTGCAGAGCCCCTGGGGCTTCTCTAGGGGCTAGATCAGGCCAGAAGACGGTGAGTGTTGCAGCCCGAGCTGGTATGGGGGACACAGGAAGGGGATGGAGTAGCTGATGGTGTCTGTAGCTCTGCACTGGGAGAAGGGGAGGGGAGGCAGGAAGTGGATGATAAGGAACAGAAGGGTCAGGGACTGGACAGCTCCTGGGTGTAATTTCCAGGCTGCAGCACAGCCACAGCGGAGACAATAACCTGCTCTCCCAGGGGAAGGGAAGACACAGGAATACGAGGGACGGAAAGGGGCAGGCGTGAATGTCCAGGTACTCATCTTGCCCTGATAGGCTGCAGAATAGCGTCCACGTTTCACTCCCCATTGCCCTCCTCTGATGAAGATGGGAAATGGCCACAGGGGAGACGCTCAGGTAGGGGATTTCTGGGGACTGGGTGTGTCCTGCAGAGGGGAGGGGATGTAAATACACTGTGGGGCTGAAGCTGTCTGTTAAACCTGCTGGGAGGAGAGACTTGTCAAGTCACTCACTTGGTGGGACAGCCACATGCTGGCCCCACCCATCACTCCTCCCTGCTCAAATGCCATTCAGACAGTGGTGACCAAGGCCATCCTGAAACTCCTGCTTTCCGCTTCTAGGGGTACTAAGCAAGCAGCCGAGCCCCACTTCTACCCTGGCCCCACTCTGCCTCTCCTGACAGCATGGCAGGGCAAGCATTAGGGAGGTTAGTCAGACTGTGGGGAGAAGGCCGTCAGCACCCCTGCACATTCACACTGAGCTTCAGCAGCACCTCTTCCCATTCTAGGAGGGGACTGCCAAGGCGGGGGGGTTCCAGAAAAGAGGGGGCCTGGTGGGTGGGATACAACCTATGAGCTGAACAAATTGGGAGAGGGGTCATGGCGGTACAGGGAGAGTACCCCAAGGACAGGGACAGGTGAGGTGTTAAGAGAAAGGAGGAAAATGGAGATGGAAGAGACTGGCACGGAGAGAGAAAACAGATGGTGAAACAGAGGGAGATGGAGGAATGGGGACTGGGAGGCAAGGCTCCCAGCAACTGTCCTGCAGCTTTCTGTCTGTAAAAATGAGTTGATACTGACCTCAGCTCCTGGGCAGGACGGTGCTGGAGAGAGAAGCTGAATCCGAATGGGTTTTCCTTGCTCATGTACCTGAACAATATGCCTGGAGGAGCTGTGGGACCCGGAGCAGCTCTGGGGGTGGCTTATTGGAACCTGACCTTTTAGGATCAGACGCCTCGGGTGGGGAAATCCACAAAACTGAAGAATCTAATGCCCTGAAATGCCCGAGGTTTCTAGCCTGGGATTTAGCACCGCTGTGACTGACAGGGACTTCTGGGAATTGTTTCCCACCCCCAGATGTATATAATAGTCTGTGTAATCCCAAGAAGTGAGAACGCGAACCTCTCAGCCCTGCTGAGGCCCAAGCCTGGGCCCTTCAACTCCTGCAAGAAGTGAGGCAGAGAAAGGAAAACAGAGGGAGCTCAGGACAAAGACAGATCTCTTCCTCTAGTGGTTAGCTGCAGCTGCAGCTTCCCAGTACTGGCAGCATTTACAGCTATAACAGGGAGAGGGCAGCAGATCTCTGAAGCCTGTGAAATATGGGAGAATGGAGAGGAAGTGCTGGCCTGGGGCTTCTCAGGATCAATAGTGGGATTGTTTCAAGGGCAAAGAGTACTGAGCGGGAGATGCTTCTTTTTTCAGGTACCAGTGACCATAAAGGAAGTGGAGGACTTGTGGCACCTTAGAGACTAACCAATTTATTTGAGCATAAGCTTTCGTGGTCTACAGCTCACTTCATTGGATGTGACAGTCTATTGCACCAAAGGGCAGTAGGTGCTTTTGGACCCTCATCAGAGGGTCTTCTACAGGGATGTCATGCAGGAGAATTACAAGACTCTGATCTCCCTGGGTAAGGGCTTGTTCTCCTTCACTTATGAGAAGGCTGCACTCTCTATGAAGGACATAGGTCAGTTTCTGGACAGGGATCTTCCCAAGTCCCTTAGAATTCTGGGCAATCAGCACAAAACTGTGCGAGAGAGAGAATGCCACAGTCCCATCTCTTCCTAGGGAAAAGAAGTTGCAGAAACACAATGGCAGTGCTAAATTCCCCAGAGCCAGAGCTTGCACTGAGGGAGGAGATATTATATTTATTTGTCCAGGGTCATTTATGTACATGTAATCACTGTATTTCTCCACTTCATCCTCTGAGTGTGTTCTGGACACTCTGAAGGTTTAGTAATGGACAAGTGGCTTAATGTTTGCAGCTCAGCTGAATCACTGAGTCCTGCAACGGGTAGACACTCAGTCTGAATCTCTCTCGGTCACATCTCACACCAGAACACTGCCTTTCCCAAAGAGACTCAGCAAACTCTTTCCCATCCATTTTGATAATACAAGCACCAGTAAAGGAAGACACTGGGTTTAAAATCACAGAACAGTTTTTGTAACCAACCTGGATCTCCCATTTTGCTTTCCGTGACCAGGATTTCTGACACCTAAACCTGGCAGGATCTCCTGCACAGAACAAGGGGAATAGCCATGGGGGTTCCTGGAATCAGGGGAAAGTAAGATACCAGTGATACCTGTACAGGTGAGGAGGAAAATTAAGTCAGAAACCATTACTAAGTGAAAAAAAGAGCTGAAGTCCCAACCAAGCCATTGTGAGCTCTCACGTTTGTGTTTCATCAAATTCAATATTATAAACAGCTGTTCTCTCACATCCCTCATAGATCTCCCAGAGGTCTTTCTAGAAGCCAGTAAGCCCTCCCTTCACTCGGCCTTTGTAGAGCTGAGGATATGGGATGTTGGCACTGCAATGCTCTCTCCTCTGGAGAAGGGATTTAAAAGAAATTGGTTCCTGAATTTCAATCTGAATTAAAACAGACAAAAATCATGATGAACCCTCTGCAGTTTCCTTTCTCCTTCACACAGAGAATGAGCGGTGTCTGAGTTTTTGTTTTTTCCAGCAGATTTTTGGATCGTGAATGAGAGTGCAGAGAACCTTCAGCAGAAAGGACTTGAGCGAGGGGAACCAGATGGAACAATTTCAGGGAGATCCGAAGAGAATGTTTTCCAGAATCCTGATCAAGAAAGAGCCCATGAGAGTTGTAACTGCCCAGAAAGACAGAGGGTAAACTCTCCAAAAGAGAGAGAAAATCCACTCACCGTGGATGAGACCTCACAAACATCAAAGGCACCACTGTCCATCAGAGAGCTGTCGCCACAGGCAGTCAATGAACACTAAGTGTTGTGAGAAAAGGTACAGCAGGGGCTCAGGCCTCAATGGCTGCCGAAGAGCCCCAATGGGAAAGAAATCCTATCCATGTGCAGACTGTGAGAAGGTCTTCAGCTGGAGCTCAGCCCTGATCACCCACCAGAGAACCCACACGGGTGAGAGGCCCTACAAGTGCCCTGCCTGTGGGAGAGGCTTCAGCCAGAGCTCCAACCTTGTCAGACACCACCGCACCCACACCGGGGAGCGGCCCTACGAGTGCGGTGAGTGCGGGAAGAGCTTTGGCCTCAACTCCCACTTCCTCAAGCATCAGCGCACCCACGCCAAGCCCTACCCTTGTGGGGTCTGCCAGAGAGGCTTCTACAGCTCCTTGGCCTTGAGCAGGCACCAGAGAGCCCACGCACAGGAGCAGTGCTACACCTGTACAGACTGTGGGAAGAGATTTCGGGTGCGCTCGGCACTAGCCCAGCACCGCAGGACGCACACAGGTGAGAGGCCCTTCCAGTGCTCCAACTGTGGGAAGGGCTTCAGCCAGAGCTCCAACCTGCTCACGCATCAACGCGTCCACACTGGGGAGCGGCCCTTCCACTGCACTGAGTGTGGGAAACGCTTTGCTGTCAGCTCCCACCTCAGCACTCACCAGAGGAACCATCGCACGGAGCGGCCCTGCCAGTGCACTGCCTGCGGAAAAGGCTTCGCCAACCCTGCCAAGCTACTCGCCCACCAGAGACGCCACACGGGGGAGCGGCCCTTCCAGTGCCCCGAGTGCAGAAAGTGCTTCAGTGACAGCTCCCTCCTGGTGAAACACCAGCGTATCCACACTGGGGAGCGGCCCTTCCAGTGCCCCGAGTGCGGGAAGAGCTTCAACCGGAACCTGACCCTACTCAGACACCGGAGAGTGCACACCGGGGAGAGGCCCTATATCTGCCCTGCCTGCGGGAAGGGCTTCAGCCAGAGCTCCCACCTCATCACTCACCAGAGAGTGCACACAGGGGAGCGGCCCTACAAATGCCCCACCTGCGGGAAGGCCTTCAGCCAGAACTCCAACCTGATCCGGCACCAGAGGAACCACAAGCACCAGGGCACACTGTAACCAGCTCATCAGCACTTGCCTCACACAAGCGAAATCTGCACAGGCACACTTTGTGGCAAAAGCTTCAAACAGAGCTCAGACCTTACAAGGAAACAGGGAAGCCACATGGGGAAGGAAGCGACGGCTGTCAAACAAATCAAGTCCTACCGTTTGAATAGTGCCGAGGAAGTGCTGAAAGCAGGAAGTGCTGAAAGCAGCACTGTAGGGAAGTGATTGCTTGGTGATGTTTTTGGATGGAGTAGAAGGAGAAACAAGGTGACAAAAAGAGGGGGATATATCTGATAATCTACAGGCATTTGAAAGGGATACATACCAAGGGCAAAGAGAACTTATTTAGGGTTGCACAACAGATGCAGCTAACAGCAGCAGGATGAAATTAAAAGGGGAAGCATTTTTTAAAAAAGTTCTTGACAGGACTATGTATTATTGAGCAGTTGGATATTATCCCCAGAAAGCAATGGTAGCTTCCTCATTTGGGACTTTTTGAAATGTGTTTTTCAGGTTAATATACTATAGGGAGACAGGGAGATGGATCAGATGAATTAATGAGTCCTTTCTACCTCTCATGTCTCTGATTCTCTCAAAGGAGGGAACAAAGGCAAAGTTGCTAAAAACTATGGTGGTAAAGGAAGGTGAATTTGTTTTAATCTCAAGTCTATTGAATGACCCAACCTATCCTTAAAATATGTTATTTACTGATACTGGATACATGATTCCTGCCATCCTTCTCTCCAGAACAATAGGGTAAGCCATCTTGTTTAGACAGTTTTACTAACCTATTTAATGCTGGTATTTTTATTGTAAAGCTAAGTGATATCAGAGACCAGAACAGAATGCAAATAAGTTTCTCTACCTCTCTAAGAGGAGTAAGAATTTAAGGCTTCCCAATTTTAAGCCCAGATATGCAAATTAGACAGAACTTGTTCCAGAAAGGAAGGTATCTGAGGACTAAAGCCACAGACATTACAGTCCTTACCTTGCCGAGAGGAGCATTATCTATCAACAAAATCATATGTTAACTGGAAAGGAGAAATAATTGGACAAAATTACAGCAAGGATATGTGGATTGTGAGTGGTATAAAAAGGACTTTCCATACAAATTGCAGAGATTGAAAAAGAAACATTCACATAGGAGCAGTTTGGTTCACTGATACTATTTTGTAATTCTCTTCAGTTAGTTCTGTCTTTTCAAACGTTTCCACTACTTTCTGCACTGTGATTTTACTATCTGAATTGTCGCTGTACATCTTAGCTCTTCCCCCGACTCCTCAAAGACAGACCAAGTATTTTTAGGACTAAGAACCCTCCCCTTTTACTAAAGCAGCCTAGACATGAAATTATCAGCACCCGTAGATGGTTTCTTATTTATGCACATTAATATCCGATGAAGTGAGCTGTAGCTCACGAAAGCTTATGCTCAAATAAATTTGTTAGTCTCTAAGGGGCCACAAGTCCTCCTTTTCTTTTTGTCTTGTATTGGTATCCTGATAGCATACTTACAAAAATGCATTGTTTTGTTCACCGTTAATGGTATGTGCACTCAGGAGAGAGCCTAAGGAAAGCTATGAATTTGTATGTTGACAGCAACAAAATGAATCTGGAAAGGATTAAATCCATACATCTGTTGGTCCTTCATTCTTCTAGGCTGGTATTTGCTGTTTGCCCCAATTTAAGTGTTCATTCCAGCAGCACAGTGTCCCCCACTGTAAAGAGCCACTGAGACTGCTAGAGATGTATGTCACTGGGCTTTCAGTTTGCAAACCATTCCAATCTCAGGCATGTTACTAGAATGTTTTAAGGCAGTGGTTCCCAAACTTTAACAGCCTGCGAACCCCCTCCTAAAAATGAATATTTCCAGGGATTTAAGTTAAAATTTCCTCTGCACTCCATGGGGCTTTTGCTGCTGAACCCCGTTTACCGCCCCGGTCAACTGAGCTCCACTGAGCTCGGGCTGCAGGTCCCGCTGACCGCAGGGGCTCGGGGTGCCAGCCCCAACTGCTCGGTCCCGCTCTCCCTGGGGCTTGGGCTGCCAGCCCTGCGTGGACCACTGGGGTTCGGGTGGCCGGCTCCCCTGCTGATGGGGTCAGGGCTCGGGCTGCCAGCCCCAACTGCCTGGCCCGCTCTCCCTGGGGCTCGGGCTGCCAGCCCTGCAACTGGGTCCCACCTTCTGCCTCTAATGCCCAAGGTCCTCTGGCCGCCATTAGTGAAATTTTTCTGGTGAACCCCCTGTAACGTTCTGCGAACCACTGTTTTAAGGGAAACAAGGTCTTTTATTAATATTATTTAGCCAAGTTCCTTTACAATGAAACACAAACCACAATTTTTTTAGGGCCTGATGAGTGAATTAGAGGAGCATTGTGATGAATGAGACTGACCAAGCATGTGACACTTTGAACATCTGAATCCTACTTTGGTGGGAAACTACTCTACTGTAAATAACCCCATTACTATTTTCTCAGCAAACAGCTAAGATAAGGGGCTAGGATAAGGGCCATGTGTCAGGGCTGACCCAATCTCTTCTAAACACACAAATGATTACAGAAAGCAGGTGAATCTGTTCCATGGGGAAGGTGGCACTTCATCAAAAAAGCTTTCCCAGCTCCAACAGGGAAGCATTACCCTCCTAAAAAAACCACCAAATCATTGCACCATTGGATGGATCTTGAAATTCATGAGTAATTAGAATCAGGTACTACAAGTTACTTCAGTATGGAAAGTTACTTTCATTTTTGGGAGGGAGGTGACACAAAAACAATTTTTTCTGCTTCCTCTCTGTGCATTAGGCTGAAAAATACAGGGATTGGCATTATTTCCATTAATCACACTTTTGAACTTGTTCTCTCCTAAGAGTTATATTTCAATCTACATGATTTGCCCAGCCTTACTTACATTAGTGTAACATTCAGGGCATAATAGAGCATACTTTCATTTTTCCACTCTGAAATACTCCTGGAACTTGTTTTTTTAATTTACAATTTCTGGGTCGATCCTGCTTCCTGGGCTTCCGGTCACTGGGAGAAGACAGCTGACAGAGCAGGAAACTGAAAAAGCAAAAGGGGAAGATTAAAAAAGAAAAGGGGGGGGGGGTGGAGATGTAAAATGGAAATAAATAAGCACAAAGGAGCAACATGGCGGGAATAAGATAGCCCTTAAAAAGTTTCTTTTGTCATCATCTTTGAATTCTGAATGGAAGTACACTACGTTGCAAGAAAGAACACTGCGTGCCAATGACTTCTACATTTTGTAAGGGGAATACCACAACTAGCAGAGAAACATTATATAGCTAGCTAAAACAATTTAAAAGTTTTAAAGGAAGCTAAACTACTAGTGATTTCCATTTTACTTTGGGCAGCAAATAGTTTAGGGTAAAATCAGAAATGTCAGGATGGAAAAATAGACAGCCAGTTATAGTGGTTATTTTAATAGGCATATTGAAGTACAAAAAGATAAACTCTACTTGTATGGCACTGCTCCATCAGACGACTGCAGATATATCCCAGTGAGTCTGGTCCCTCTCAAAGAATATTACAGTTCACAACAGAATGAATCTAAAGTCTGTAGCAAAAGTTTGCATTATAAGTTACGATGACAATAAACTCTGACTTATATCAGAAGTTCTATTTGTCTGTTTGAATACTGCAAGTGTACAATTCAGCTATATAAAAATATCAGGTCTGCGAAAGACTTTTTGTACCTCAGGTCATCCACTGTACAGTAAATTCTGAAGACAAGTCAAAGGATTCTTTCATCAGTTTTGTTATCTGTGAACGTGCTGTTAAATTGAATTCAATTCCCCCACAGTGTAATTCATCTGACTCAATTCTTTGATATATTTACAATGCATAAGTTTTCATTCCAACTGCAACAGTACATTTTTGGCCTAAAAACATGGAGCTGTGAGTATGCAACAGAGAACCAAAGACACATGCCTTTCTAAATATATCCTTAAAGTGCAAAATGTGTGTTTTCACACAACGGCATGAAAATATAGTTAGTCTGAGAAAGTCAATGCACTCAATATAGAAAATAGGAACATGCATTTAAACATGCTCAAATTATGGAAACGATTTCTTCCTTTTTTTCCTGGCATAAGTGACTTTTTGTGTAATAATAAGTGATAAGCAAACATTTAAAGTAGGTTCTATAAGAGTGTTGCTAAAATGATTTAAAGCTTATAGGAACTTAGGATGAAGCCCTGGTTTAAGAAGAGCTATGCTGTCATAAAGGCACCACATTTTCCCCTGCTGTTTTTGTTTACTTTAAAAATATGTTTAGCGCTCCTCAGAATCTGTAGAGTGTCATCTCAGTTCTGTTAAAGATGATCTCTCAGCCATATTTAACATGAAATCCCATAACGACCGCAGTCAAATCAAGTTATTTCCAAGTTTTCCCAATGTAATAGGTTCAGTAACCAAAGACAGCAATACGTTAACAGTATACTTGATTTGGCCAAACAACGTCAGAGATTAGAATCTCTCTCTACCAACAAATTTTCTGTTCTGAAAAGCTTAAAATTAAAAAAAAAAAAAAAATTTATTCTTTCAGCTTTGATACAAAATGATGTTCTGGAAGTTCAAAATTGTTCAAAGTAACCTGAATTACAGATTCGCCCCACTTGCCTTATTTATTTTCTGAAATGAAAAAAGGCTGATCTCCAACATCACACAGTAAGACCTGCCACTCTTCAAACCTATCTCACTCAGGGCACCAAGCCGTGCTCGGATGCTGAGCAGAACTTTCCTTTCCCTTGGGAAAGTAAGAAAAAAAGGCTCAGACACTATTTTCTAGATATTTACAGTGCTTTAGAAACAAATTGCACTTCACAGGTTAAAATTCCATTCATCTTTCCCTACCCAATTTCTGGTACCAGCGTAAGCAAAAAGCTGGACTCCAATTTGGGCAGGAATGTCACTTTCTTTAATCTTCACCCAAGGGATCTCAATTTACATCTTGCAGCCAAAGACTCACCCCTCTCCTTTTTTTTTTAAACAATCCCTATAAAATTGAACATTTTGGCTGAATGGTAATCCTTACGACTCTAGCTTAGAAGAGGCATCCTACCTATTTAAAACAAAATAGCGAAGGATGAACTCTGTGAAACTCTATTGTAACCGTGTAACATTTTGAACACAACACTGATTGTATGGAGCACTGGGAGACTTCTTGGAGAGATGTCTGGTGTGACAAAGAAAAGTGTTTGCCTTGCACCTTTAGAATGCAGAATTCCACGTCAGAATGTTTTCTTGAACAACACTGGTGTGACTCGGGGTTTTTATTTGATAGAAATTAACTCAGCCACTCCCTCCCCCATTTGGGGTGGGGACGCAGGGAATCACACCCAATTTTGGTTTTAGTGATTATTTACTGCTCTCCATCTTGTTGCTGCTCTCTGTCATGTTGATGATGTTGTTCTGGGTGGTCATCTTGGTGCAGCTGTTTCTGTTCCTGCCTTTTCTTTTCAGCTAGTGCTTTTGCCCTTGTAGTCATTGCTCTGGGCCTGATGTCGCACCCCTCTTCATCCTGCTGATGCTTTTTACAATGTTTCTCAAATGTAGACATTTTGGCATAAGTCCGGTTGCAAACCATGCAATGATAGGGCCTCTCCCCACTGTGCGTTCTCATATGAAGCTGGAGATAAGAAGACCTAGAAAAAGTTCGGCTACAAACAGAACAGCGGTGAGGCTCACGGGCTTCATGTGTTTTTAGGTGCTGTTTGAGAGATGAGGCCTGCTTAAAGGCCTTACTGCATGTGGTACATTTGAAATTCCTCTCCCCAGACTCAAGGAGCTGATGCGACATGAGGTGAGCAGAGGAACGGAAGTTTTTCCCACACTTCTCACATTTGTAGGGCCTCTCACCAGTGTGAAGGCGGATGTGCAGGATTAGTCCTGCCTTCTGTGTGAAGGCCTTCTCGCACTGGGTGCATTTGAAAGGCCTCTCCCCTGTGTGGACACGTCGGTGAGTCTTCAGGTGTGAGGCACGCCCAAAGTTCTTCCCACAGTCCTCACATTTGAAGGGCTTTTCCCCCGTGTGGATTGCTTTGTGCCTCACAAGGTGCGAGGACTGTAGGAAGAGCTTCCCACACACATTGCACTTGTACTTCCTCTCGCCCGTGTGCGAGCGCAGATGCAGGGCCAAGTGGGAGGAGGAGATGAATTTCTTGCCACAGAGCGGGCAGGTGTGGGGTCGCTCGCCAGTGTGAATGCGTTTGTGCAGTACCAGGCCAGAGGACAGAGCAAAGGTCTTCCCACACATGGGACACTTGTAAGGCTTCTCTCCTGTGTGAACGCGCTGGTGCTTCACCAGAGCTGATGTCTGCGCAAAGGTCTTTCCACAGAGCTCGCAGCGATACGGTCGCTCCGCAGCGTGAGACATCTCATGAAGCTCCAGCTCTGTCAGCTGGGCAAAAGATCTGCCACATTCAGAGCATTTAAACGGTTTGCTAATGAGAACTGATTTGCTGGGTGGATTGTTTGTTGATAAGTTACTAGTCATGGAATTATTAATAACAGAACTACTGGGTACCATTGTTGGTAACGAGAAACTTTGAGAATTCATCATTGTATCAGCTTGGCATATAACGTAACGTAACGTAATGTAACGTAACGATGGGGGGAATGGTATTTAGTCACGGAGAATCATAACAATGGTCTCCTCAATTTAAAGAGGAACAAATTTCAGCATCAGGTACACAGATGAATAGTTAATACCTGAAAGGGGAAAAAAGACGACAGAATGACATTCACCCTCACAATGCAATTCCACAAAACAATTTGATGTAAAGTGAGCCAATGCTAAGCGCTGTCATTGTCTCATGGTGTTTCTCTGCTTTCTGCTTGTGACCTACTGCGCCATGGTGTCTCAGTCTTGTGTGTTTGGGTTTGGTCCTTGTTTTAAATTAAGATGTCTCTGCGGCTACCAAATCCAGAATGGGTCTGTGTAAAATTTTCAAAAATACCTACGCGATTCAAGTAGCCTAAGCCTCATCCTGAACAGTGACGCGGGCACTTTGGGGCTTTCCTCACCCCCTTGTTGTTACACGTTTCAGGAGCTGCCCAGTGACCACGGGCAGGAACTGAGGCTGCCTGGTCAGACACGCAGAGTTGATGATTAAGACTAAGAGCAGGTCGCAGAATCGATGACACTTCCCGCTCCAGCCTCAGGGCAGCGGGGCTGGGGCTGTCAGCCAGCCGGACCCCTCCCGCCCCCCGCCGCCGCGGGCGCCAAAGCGGGACCCTGGAGCTCCCAGCCGGAGTGGCGGTGGGTGCCGGACCCCCGCTCCCGCCCCAGGGCTCGGGCGCAGCCCCCTTGCGTCGCGGCTGTTTTCAGTGAAAGGCAGGGACGGGTCAGGGGCTTCCCCGACTTTGTGTTTATTGCCCTGACCCGTCCCTGCCTTTCACTGAAAACAGCCGCGAGAAACTCTTAGCCTGACTGGTGACACGCCGGGGCCGGGCCGGGCCGGGCCAGGGGCCCGGGGGCCGGACCGGGCCGGGGCCGCCACCCACCGCAGGACACGGGCCCTGAGGGCGGAGCAGGAGCCCCGGGGGCTGTCCGCGCCCCGCGCCCGGGCGACACTCGCCCCCCGCCCCGGCCCGGCGGCAGGAAAGGGCCGCCCCACCCCGCGCCCCAGAACCGCTATTACCCGGCAGCGGCAGCTTCCCAGACTGGCTTCCACGCCCCGGAAACGATCCCTGCGACCCGGAAACACAGCGCCGGCGCCCCAGCCGCCGCCCCACACTGCGCATGCGCTCCGGACGCGCGCGGCAGGGGTGGGAGGTGTGAGGCTCCAACCACCCCCCCCCCCCGCCCCGGAAGTCCCGTGCCCACCGTTGCCTGCCCGGACTGGAATTTGCGACACACCGGGGGGGAGGGGGCGAAGCTTCAGGCTGTGCCCCGCCCCCTCCGAACCCGGCTGGGCACGTCCACCTATGGGCACGGCCCGGCGCACGGGAGACCAGAAGCTCTGAGCCTGCGCGCAACGCTGCCGCCATCACCTAGGAAACCCCTCGCTGCAGCACGCGCCGGCCCAGCCGCGGCCCTCGACTTGTTCCGGCCCCTCAATTCGCGCAGCCTCGCCACGTCGCCCCGGCCCCCGCCCCTCAGCCCCCGCCCCACCGCCTCACCCCGCCCCCTAACCCCCGCCCATAACCCGCCCGGCCCCCGCCCCCTCATCCCCCCCCCCACCCCCCCCCCCCACCCCCCCCCCTAACCCCCCCCCCCACCCCCGCCCCCGCCCCCTCAGCCCCCACCGCCCCGTAACCCCCCAGCCCCCGCCCCACCACCTCACCCCCCCCCCTAACCCCCGCCCTAACCCCCCCCCCCCCCCCCCCCCCCTAACCCCCACCCCCCCCCCCCTCATCCCGCCCATACCCCCCGCCCCCCCCCCTCAGCCCCCGCCGCCCCGTCCCCCCCCCCCCCCCCCCAGCCCCCACCGCCCCGTAACCCCCCAGCCCCCGCCCCCCACCTCACCCCCCCCCCCCCCCCCGCCCATAACCCGCCCGGCCCCCGCCCCCTCATCCCCCGGCCCTCGCCCCCCCCCATCACCACCGGCCCTCGCCCCCCCCGTAACCCCCCAGCCCCCCCCCGCCCCCTCATCCCCCCGCCCATAACCCGCCCGGCCCCCCCGCCCCCTCAGCCCCCCCCGTACCCCCCCCCCCCCCCCCCCGCCCCCTCACCACGGCCCTCGCCCCCCCCGTAACCCCCCAGCCCCCCCCCCCCTCATCCCCCCCCCTAACCCCCCGCCCTAACCCTACCCGCCCCGCCCCCCCCTCACCCCGCCCATAACCCGCCCAGCCCCCACCCCCCCCCCAACCCGCCCCCCCCCCCCCCCAGCCCCCATATCCCCCAGCCCCCACCCCCCCCCCCCCCCCCCCCCCCCCCCCCCCCCCCCCCCCCCCCCCCCCCCCCCCCCCCCCCCCCCCCCACCCCACCCCACCACCTCCCCCCCCATAACCTGCCTGGCCCCCCCGCCCCCTCACCACCCCATAACAGAGCCTGCTGTAACCCTGCCACGCTGCCCCTCCCATACCACCCCATAACCTGCCCTAACCCTGCCATGCCGCCCCAGAGCCTGCTGTAACCCCACCAAGTCACCCTGCCACGCCGCCCCAGAGCCTGCTATAAAAGTACCACAAAGCACCCTGCCACGCAACTGGCCATAACCGTGCCATGCAACCCATAAGATAGAATCAAAGAAGATCAGGGTTGGAAGAGACCTTGGGAGGTCATCTAGTTCAACCGCCTGCTCAAAGCAGCAGCAAACATAACCCCCTGCAGGCAAGCTGCCGTAACCCTGGCACAGAGTCTGCCATAATCCCACCATATCACCTTCTGCGATGCAGCCTACCGTAACCCCACCATCTCACCCACTGCCACGCCGTCTGCTGTAACCCCACCAGGTAAGCCCCTGCCATAACCCTGGTACGCCACCTCATAGCCTGCTACAGCCCTGCCACGTAATCCCCTGCCATGTAACCTGCTGCAATCCCACTGCATCACCCTGCCACGCAGCCGCATGGCCTGCCAGAATCCCACCATGGCACCTGGCCGCACAACCTGGCCTAACCCACCATGTAATCTGCTGTAATCCCACCACGTAAACTCTTGTAATCCCTGCCTTGTCACCCTACCACACAGCCTGCCCTAACCTACCATGTAACCCTGCCATGCTGTATCACCCGCTCGCCTGCTGTGTCCGTACAACATAACCCCCTACCATGTAACCTGCCGTTACACTGCCACCGCATAAACCTGCCCCGCAGCCTGACGTAACCCAGGCACATCACCCCAGCATGCCACCACATAGCCTACCATAAACCCACCACGTAACCTGCCACACACCTTGCTCTAATCCTGCCTTGGTGCCCTGTAGCCTGCGATAACCCTGTCATGCTACCTGCTGTAACCCCACCAAATCACTTGGTCACCCACCTTTCCCCATTGTAACCCTGCCACGGTGCCCCATAGCCTGCAATCTGCCGTGCAGCCACATCCTACAGCAAAGAGAGGGGGGCTTTTGTGTGACTGCAGCTGATCCACTCCCCAGCTATGGACATGTTCTCCCATTGTCCCAGCCGTACCCACTCCGGTGCTGTGTGCGTGTGTGGGGTAGCTGTGGCGCTCAGGAGGCTGCGTTTGTCACAGCCATGACCCACATAGTAGAAAGGTCAAGCTAGCATTTAAGTGTGGACCAGGCCAGAGTCCTGCTGCTAAGGAGACCCAGACTGATCGTTGCTGTGTGGAGACCGAACAGAGCCACCAGTGCTGACAACACTGTAATTTGCATTGTACGACAGGTGAGCACTTGAAGCAAATTGCATTTCGTCGCAAAAGGGATGGTCTAGGTCGGGGTGGGCAAACTTTTTGGCCTGAAGGCCATATCGCGGTTCCAAAACTGTATGGAGGGCCGGGTAGGGAAGGCTGTGCCTCCCCAAACAGCCTGGGCCCTGCCCCCTCCCACTTCCCGCCCTGACTGCCCCCCTCAGAATCCCCACCCCATCCAACCCTCCCTGCTCCTTGTCCCCTGACCACCCCTCCTGGGACCCCCCACCCCTAACTGCCCCCCAGGACCCCCCCCATCCAATCCCCCCCCACTCCCTGCCCCCTTACCATGCCGCTCAGCGCACCAGGACTGGTAGCCACGCCGCCCGGCCAGAGTCAGCCACGCTGCCGTCTAGATTCCAGAGTGCTGGCAGCACGGTGAGCTGAAGCTGCGGAGAATGGGGGGACATCAGGGGAGGGATTAGAGGCTAGCCTCCCCAGCCAGGAGCTCAAGGGCCAGGCAGGACCATAGGTTGCCTAACTCTGGTCTAGGTTGACAGTCATGCCTCAGTACAGGGGGATGGACTATATGACATCTCAAGGTCCCTTCCAGTCCTGCTTAAATCTGTGATGTACAAATGAAAACATTTACTTTGGATCAAGCCAGTTTCAAATGTGGCAGGATAAACTGTAGCTTGCATAATATTTATACTCTTAATTCTGCATTTTAATTACTAAAAAGGGATGCTGTTCCTAATTTACAAACATATATAAATATATATTATAAATATTAAAGTATATATACACACACACACACTCACTCAGATGGAAAGTTCCCATAATTTCAAAGAAAGTGGAATGTAGAAACATTAGAAACCAGTGTGCCATTGGAGTCTTTATACATTACTAGTCATATGGGATAAATCCTCTGATTTACTGTAAACTAATGTAGTCTTTGCTGTGCCTAAATCTGGAGGAAATCCACATCCTCATAGCTGAATGCAACAAGCATGGAAAAGCTGTAGAACATTCTTTGTTTCTGAGTACAGCTCACAATGGTCTGTTAAAGAGAAATGGCAACATACAGCATGACCATTTAAAAAAGTTTATTATATTTTTAAACTTACAGACCACTTCATGTTTAAAACAAAAATACCAGTGTCCAGTCATAACAGCTAAACAATTCTGAACACTCTGGCATCATGCTGGAATAATTTGCTACTCACAACTGTTCTTCCACCATTGCTGCCACTCCATAAACAAATGATTGTGCATTTGTTTGATCATTTTACTGATAAATTGAATACTGTATTGCAACTAACAATGATTATTGGCACTACTAGGTGTTTACGAGTGTCCACAGTCAAAAACATATTGTCAGTTTCTGGGATAACTGCACCTCTGACTTGCTGGTCTCTCTGAGCCTCAAGTCCGAGGCCTTGAGCTGTCACCTCTCTCCAGGTGGAATCCTGAAATTCTCTCACTCTCAGCCCAGGCTTTGGGCTGTAGTCCCCTGGTGCTGATTATCTCCAGCAGGTTGGACTTAGGTTCAGTCCCTGCAGTTCTGTTCTCTCTGGGAGCTCTGACCAGCAGTGACCAGACAGCCTTCTTAAAGCAATCCAATTGTTTATTTAGAACCAAAGCATTTCGGAGAAAGATGATTTTAGATAAACAGCTTATACAGATGTCAAGTTTACCAGATACCACACGAGAACCTGCTTCGACACAGAAATAAAACCCCCTCCGATCACACACTCCTAGCTGTCACCCAGCAACCCCACACTGGAACCCATATGGGATATCATCAAACTGCAACCCATATTCGAAGGGGACCCCATCCTGAAAGAATGGGGGAGGGATAGCTCAGTGGTTTGAGCATTGGCCTGCTAAACCCAGGGTTGTGAGTTCAATCCTTGAGGGGGCCATTTAGGGATTTGTGGCATAAATTGGGGATTGGTCCTGCTTTGAGCAGGGGGTTGGACTAGATGACCTCCTGAGGTCCCTTCCAATCCTGATATTCTATGATTCTAAATCTTTCCTGAGCCCCCTCTTCTGGCCTTCAAACAACCCCCCAACCTTATTATTAGAGGCAAGCTCCCAACAGACCAGGACACAACTCAAAGTGGCACCAGATGCAAAACCTGCAGACATATCTCCACTGCTACAATGACCAACACTCCCTACAACATACCTTTCAAGATCCATGGATCCTACACATGCCTATCACAACATGTGGTGTACCTCATATGGCCCACTAATGCCCCAATAGCAACTATATAGGTGAAACCAGACAATCACTATGCTCTTGAATGAACTCACACAGGAAAATGGTAAAAGACAAAAACACCCTGTCACCTGTGGGTGAACACTTTTCACAAAGCGATCATTCTCTATCTGACCTATGAGTCCTCATCCTCAAAGGAAACCTGCACAGCACTTTCCACAGGCGCGCACGGTACTTAAATTCATCATTTTGCTAGACTCAGAAAATCATGGACTGAACAGAAACATGGTTTATTGAAACAGTCTATAATTCACTACCACCACCTGCCTTTCCCTAACCCCACCTTTCTTTCCCCCCTATGACTGGAAGGGTGTTAACAGGATACTTCATCTTGAGTGGTCCCTTGAAATGTGAGTTAGCTACTTAGGCTAAACAATCTGTTCCACCTTGTACTTAGCTGCGACACTGAGTACGTTTCCCAGACATGAAGAAGAGCTCTGTGTAGCTTGAAAGCTTGTCTCTTTCACCAACAGAAGTTGGTCCAATATAAGATAT